GACTGACCCCGCGCCCCCCCCCGCCGGGCGTTCTCTCCAGTCCGCTGGCCTCACAAACGTCCTTTACCACCAACTCGACATCCGCGATCCCCTCAGCGCCGCAACTCTCGCCCGATTCCTACAAGATCGCTTCGGCAAGCTCGACATTCTAGTCGGTACCAAACCCCCTTTACGCATCAAACCTAACCGCTTATATACCTGAAGTTCTACGTTTACTTTAGGTTAACAACGCTGGAGCTTCGGGAGCTATTGTCGACGTCGAAGGCCTCAAAGCCCTAAACATCGATCCAGTTTTGTGGGTACGTTCCGCCAAACCGTCACAATAAAGCAAGGGCTTTTTAATTAGTTCATTGGCTTGGATCCTTTTTTAAGCCAAATTTCAGAAATTTCTTGTTTGAAAATAAATCAAAACCATATCGAAAAATCCTTTGTAAAAAATCTAAAATTTTCAGTTGAACTACTAATGTTCTATGTGCTATTGTTCGTGAAACTGCTGGGCCAAGCTCTCGGGCAAGGCTACTAATCAGGTGAAAGGAGTGATAGAGCACACGCACGAGAACGCAGTGTCATGCCTCGACACAAACTACTTCGGTTGCAAGAGAGTGACGGAGGCTCTCCTCCCCCTCCTCCGCCTCTCACCCTCCGGTGCTAGAATCGTCAATGTGTCATCTCTCAGATCAGAGCTCAGGGTAAACCGAAACCCCCAAATTATTCATTTGCTTCCTCTTCCGAATAGCGTAATATAGCTTGCTTTTGCTCTGTTGTGGTCTGTTAATAGAGGATTCCGAACGAGAGTATCCGTGCGGAAATATCGGAGGTTGAGAAGCTGGACGAGGAGAGGATCGAGAAAGTGTTGGCGAGATTTCTGGATGATTTGAAGGCGGGAAGGTTGGAGGTGGGCGGCTGGCCGATGATGCTGCCGGCGTACAGCATGTCGAAGGTGGCGGTGAACGCTTACACGCGAGTGATGGCGAGGAGGTACCCGGAGATGCGTATCAACTGCGTGCATCCTGGATTTGTGAAGACAGATATCAACTGGAACACCGGAGTGGAGACGACAGAGGAGGGGGCTAGAGGGCCGGTGATGCTTGCTTTGCTGCCGCCCGGCGGGCCGTCCGGCCGCTACTTTGATAAGACCGACATGGTTGACTTCTGAGATGTTGCGTTGCTGTTCAACTCGATGATTTTTTTCTTTTTCTGTTTTTTTTTTCTCCTCAAAATTTTTCTGAATTTTCTGTTTTTAAAGTTTTCTAATCCATGATTAGAGTTAGGAATGGTCTTTGATTTATGAAGTATGCCACACTGAGTTCCCTCCTAAAAAGAGAAATATCGAATGTTCGGACAATCAATCATCGATAGTCATGTCGTCATATGCATCATTGGCAGGCGACGTGACCGTCTGGAATTGATCATTTGCACGTGCGGATGTGCGGATGTGCGGATGTGCGGATTTGCGGAAAGGGCTTTACAAATCTACCATAAACATCTCAATTTTGGCTATCCAAACTTTAATTTTTAGGTCTTATATTTTTTATTTAGTTTGGCGATCTGTTCTTAAAATTCTAAGTTTGAGCGGTTGATACCTTGATACATAAAAATTGGGTGAAGGCATGTAAATCTCCCTTTTTAATTATAAGCCATTTTTATTTTTATTAGACATATTTACACAGACCACCAATTATTTTGTATTTACATTTTGCCTAACTTTAATTTTTACATTTATACCGTCCAAAATTTTCATATCACATTAAAAATAACATATTTTTAACTTTTAGAAAAGAGAAATACTTATTTACATGCATATATTTGTAAAAATGGAAGCTTAGATGTTTGATGTGTAAATACATTAAAATTGAGTCGTGCGTATGTAAATATTTATTATTGTTATTATTATTTTGTGCCCGTATCTTGTCTTGTTAGAGGAAGGAAGGTTTTCTTTCTTAACTTCGTACCATTGTGATGTCTTTAATTTTGACATTTGTTTAATCAATTATTATGTATGTCTATACGAAGAGAAATTATTTCACACGGGTAGCGCATGCATCTCTGCATGCGTTGTCTGATCTCGGTCGTCGATCACAACTTTTTGATTTTTTTTTTAAATGGGGCCCATCGAAATACAGTTTTGCTGTGATCGACGGTCGAGATCGGACAGAGCATGCATCTATGCATGTGCTATAAGTTTGGAATAATTTTTCGGAGGGGCGGGCTGTTTCTAAATTAGTTAAATCAAGTAAAATTAAAATCTTAAATTCAAAAAATTTACTCAACTAAATTTAAATAAAATCTATCAAAATAAAATAAATTCGATTTGATCAACATTGGGCATAAAAATATTAAAATTGAGTTTGATTGAATTTAGTTGCAGGATATTGAGAATTTTAGTATAAAGATTTGCCTCAACATGAATAATAGAAGCTCTCTAGAGAAATATGAATTTTTACATGTGAAATTCAAGCAGAGAAAAATTCACACACTTCTTATTTGAACAATACATATTATATTCTTCCCACTAATTAGAAAGGATAGGGTTGCAAATTAAGGATTGAAACTAATTAGCTTAAAATAAAATTTGGACCCATCCAAACTCACCTAAGGGTTTGGACAAATATCTTTGACTAAAAGGCTCATTATGACCCATTAATGGTCATTTGGGAAATTCATTCTCCCCATAAAACAGTAATTTCCAATTAGTCCTAAATAATCTTAGAATCATTAGAAACTCTTCTATTTTCCTTCAATTAACATCCAAATCCAAGTTAAATCAATTTAAACACTAACACATATTTACTCATTAGGGTTAGATGAGGTCAAATACATTTAAATCAAATTGAAATTCAATCAACCTTGGGTTAAAACCTTACTCACCTATTTTAACCACTTGAATCGATTCCATGCTCATTGGGACCTAATTGAGTTTGGGTTCATTTGATTTAAAATAAGACAAATCAAATTAAACCCAATTCAAATCCAAATAAATTTGTCTAAGCACTTCTCTAAGTCATTTTACAACTAATGAAATCAATTTCATAGCCATTGGATTCCAACTGTGTTCAATTGGGCATTGACCCGAATTTGACCCATTTTGGTCATTATGAGTCAAGTTAAGCCAAGCCAATTTCAAATATAACCGAACTTATCTAGACATAGTTCTAGGTGATACCCTAGCCTATGAATTTAACTTTATGACTACAAATCCTTGCCTTTAATTGACCCTAAACCCTAATTGGGTCCATATATCTAAATTTAAACCTTGCCAAACATAGCTAGTGTCATGCTCATATCCTATGCGATTTTTTTATGCTAGCCCAACCCATTTAGGCTAACCAAAGTGCACCAAATAGGCTTTCCTCCCACCGGACATGGCCTATTATATGTTGTATGAGATAACCCGTACTAACTCTATTTTGTAGGTTGAGTCTTTATTTTGGATTTATATATATATTTTTAGTGTCCTTAAGGATTTTGTATTGGAAATAAAATACGGGTCTTGGTTTCGAGGATCTTGAAGCACCGAACCACATGACGGTGACCAGGAGCAGCTTGCCCGTGTCCTGTTCCTTAAGTCTAAATTTTCATTTGAGGTATAACATTAGGATCATGCATGAATATGTGAAACCTTACTGTTTTTTTGCTTTTCTGGGATATATTGTAGACCCAGCAGCACCTGAACTTTATTATTTAGATATTTGGCGTGTTTACTTTTTGCTACATGTTGACTTGTTCACGCTTTCTTTGGTTGTGATTTATCTAGAAATAATGTGAAGTGCAATTTAGGGTCTTTAAGAACATAAAATTTATCATTTTCAAAATCCTAATAACAAAAAATTGAGAAAAATCAATATTTATGACTAAAATATTATTGTTATTTAAAACCAATTTTTACTTATCTATGTTGCTTTCAGACCGGTTTTAAAATGGTTTACATGGCATGGGCATATCACAAGTCATCCCTAAAAGGGCCTCCACATTATGACTTTAGATAACTACATAATATCACACGTCCCGAGGAAGAACACTCTTGTTTCTTCAACATGACTAGCCAAACATAAGTTTTTATACTTAGGTGGTTGTCTAACATGTACCAGACGGGGTATAAGTCCATTGTGGGGTAGTTTTTGCTTTGTAGCTAGACCCCTCTTCTATTTTCTATTTCAGTGGCATCTTCATTATTTATTTGGCGAATATAAGTCTCATATCTATGTACTCTACCTCTAGAGGGTCATAGGGCATTAGAGTCCTATTTCTTTTAACATTAGGGCTACCTAGGTGTTCTTGGACGACACAATTCATGGATTGCTGATAAAAAATCTCGGGTGACCTGGTGGAGTTAAGGTCTTCGTAGCTTGGGACTATGGATCCATGGTATCTTGACTCGACTATCTCTACCTATTTAGGGATTTTTTTTCTTTTTCTTAATAATCCCATTTGAGCCCTGCCGATCATTTTGCTCTCATAGGCTCCTTTTACTGATAAACTGCTGCTCGTTTAGGATACAGTGATTCGACCCTTATGGCGTAGTGTAGGCTTTGAGGTATTAGGCTAATCCAATTTGAGAGGATTTGATTATTTTATAGGCTTTGTTTGTCTAAATAAAGGATGCCCATAGTGGACACGGTAATTCACCCTCTGCTCTATGGTTCAGTATAGGTTTTGAAGCATCGAGATATTCTCAAATGAGATAACCATCCTTTTGGTGACCTATTCACTACTTATCATGATAATGTAAGCAATTCCTCTTTTATCTAGAGTCTTCTTGGGTATTCCCCAAAATGTAATTAACCAAAGAAATGTGTTCCTTAAGGAGTGTTCTTGACCACTGAGCAAAAATGTTCTTTTTGGTTCTCTAATTTTGGGAGGCTTGTGTAGGGATTCTTTTTATAGATATTGTGTTTTGAGGTATTTTGATCCAATTCTGCTTTGCGTATACTCTTAAACTATCGCACGATGATTACCTTACATAAGCTCTTCATATTTCTTTTTATTTATTTGTTTATTTTTTATCATAAATTCTCATCTTTCCAATTTCTTTCTTCTCTGGAACATCTTTGATGATCCTGCAGAGAGATTTACTTGGAAATAAGAAATCATACAGCGACGACATATAAATAGACAAGCTGACGACTCAGAATTCATTTAAAAAGAACCAAAAAATAGTAACCTCTTAAATTTGTAAAAAGGGCCTAAGGACTTTATGTTTTTTTATGAAGCTCCACCATAGCCTAATATAATTGTAGTAAATGTTCGATATGACCTTCAGATCTTTTTAGTGTAAAGCATACAAATCATCTTCACTTGGTTGCTTGAGTCAAAGCAATATCATGAATAACCCTCATCTTTGGCTGGAGATTAATGATGAAATCGAGATCATTCTATCTTCTTATTTACAATGGACAACTCTGATCAATATGTTTAGAAAATTATGCTACCCTAAGGCTAGATCGTTGGATGACACTTAGTTGTGCAATTTGTAATTGAATAGTTAGGGTTAATCACAACTAGGGCTATGCTTTCCATAAATTATTGCAAACGATTAGACTGCATCACATGTAAAATATGGCCAAATATGCACTAATTGTGATAACATGCAATAGGAATTAAGAAAAATAAGTAAATGCATAGAAAATTATAGAAAGCATAAAAAATTAAATAATGATAAAAAAAGTTAAATAAATATGCTATGGCCTCAAGAAGAAATGTGAAAATCAAATTAAGCAAAGTTATATGTTCAAATTGACTTCATATTTTCTTAGAATGTTCTTTAAGTTACCACTAACCTATAAGAAATGTTCCATGGGTTTAAGAGTGGAAGTAAAAAAGCATTTAAATTTTAAATTACTTCCCTGATTAGAGTAATAAATAAATTAACTAAACATAAAATAATTAAAAGTAATTCCAAATATTCTCTAAGTTTAGCCCTAAACCTTTGAAGTGTTAGGATAGTCATTAGGTTGATTCAAGTTAATTCAAAGAATAAGATTAATTTTAGGGTAATTAATTAACTAAACTAAAAACTTAAGCTTAAAAATATACTAAAAATTTAATAAGTTTTAGAAAATTCAAATTAAAATCTCATTAAATCTTTAATATTTTAAGGTAAATAAAATTAAAATTAAATAAATTTAATTTCAAAATGGTTTCTCATTATTATTAATAACTTAATAAATATCATTAAAAGTCGAACATGGATAATTCTGAATATTTTGTGGAAGCATCAGAGGAGCCCTTAAGACCTCCATGATGGTATTAACAAATTCTAAGACTAATTTTAATTTCAAATGAGTTTTAAATTAACAAAATAATATGAAGTATATAGAAAATATAAATAAAGTCTAATTAACCCAAAGTTTTATGAGAACATCAAAGTATTATTCTACAACCTCTAATGACTTTATAGATATAATTAATTTAAATTTTCAATTAATGTATATTATAAAATAATATAAGACTATAAGATTTTTAATGTAATCTAAAATGAGCTTAAAATTTTATAGGAGTATTCTATAATTAAAATTCTCTCAATATTTTTTCAAAGATAAAAAAAACATAAAAATTTTAAATGTTTATATAAAAAAATTAAATAATTTACAGCTAATAAACATAGATTTGTTAAAAAATTTTACTTATAAAATATTCAGTTATTACTTATAAAAATTTTATCATATAAAAATTATAAATCAATGAAATACATCTGTACATTCTGTCATATTATGATTTTTAAGCACATCCTCAGGACTGTTTCAAATTTCGGCCGGCCGATAAGGAATGCCAATTCTTCCCAACTAGACAAATAGGACACGTGTGATACATGCTGACACAGCATACTAAGATCAAGACACATGTCCCAAATCCGGACACGTGGCAAGAGACTTCGATAACGGCATCCCCTCCATCCCCCAGCTCGCCGATCGTTTCTCTATTTAAATCCATCTCCAATTTCCTTTTCATCACCGACTTTTACAGAGAATCAGTTCTCTAACGTTCTCAGTTTTAATCGTCGTGAGCGGAAGTAATTCATATTGTCAACAATGTCATCGAAGCAGACGAAGGAGGAGCAAGCGGTGACCGGCGCCGGAGACGGCGACGCCACTGTGCAGGAGACAAGGGGCG